GTCGTAGGAGAAGTAGCCTACGTTGATTAGAAAATATTTTTATGATAATTTCAGTGAGCAGATGAATCAAAACGATAGTTTATGCAAGCGGCTGCTACACAGTACCAAGCAGAGTGTGAAACTTACTTATCGGGGAACACTAGATCGGACCGTGACTCTGGGAATGGATCAATACCTGCAAGATAGATCTCAAGGCATTTGGATCTTTCCACAAGGCACAAGATTCGAATGGGGATGTGAAAGTTGTGTCAGTTTCACGAGGACAAAATCGAAAAGAATTGAAGAGCATTCAAGGACGTTCATCGAGTTCTAATAGGGGGCATGTTTCTTTCAGCATCTGTTCAATCGTCACATCAAACTCGCCTATACCCTAGAAAAATTTGTTCAGTTAGCAGGGAGCATCAGCCGTTTACATGGTGATTGATCGGTAAAATGATGCTTATTTAACTGATTTTTGTAGATAAGGTATCCATTTTGGCAAGAATCTCCAGCATAGACAGTACATTGATGCAGTCAGTTCAGTCAGTAGAGTGATGATGTTGCGGTCAGTAAAGTCGGTAGTTTGGTACGCTGAATGAATGTAACGAATGCCATGTTCCATCTCAGTGTATGGTTTGGGGTTTTGGTTTCAATCTCAAATGATTTGGGGTTTTGGCGACTCGCGATGGCAACAGCGAAACCATGCATATGTCATGCTGCATGTGTTAGTTTTGCCGCGGTTGTTAATTCCCTGCCACGTTTTACCGAACTTGTATCTTCTGTGAATTTTTAGACATTTCTTGTAAATTACTTGCGCTTGAGTCAGTTATTAGGATGAGACAGCACGATTCTTGTTTGTAACCATTTTCACGAGTGTTTAGCCCAGCTTTATGCAGATAAATAATTGTGCCTTCACTATATGCGGCTGCGGTAAGAAAACCTGTTATAAATTAACCATAGTGTGCTCATAATATATAATTTTTAGTCTGGTCTCTGAACATAACTTCGTCCAAACTTGCTGAGATTTTGTATTATCGACGATTATATTTTAAATATTTTTATGATTTAATTCAGCCGCTATATTATAAAAAGGCATATTCTTGTCCATCACGTGGATATTAATTTTGCATTAGAGTGCAAGCTCCTGGATTTGGCCTCTGGGAGTTTGTTGGGCATCTTCCTCTGCTTCCATCAGAGACACGAACGGTTGTCATGCAAAGCATGTTTTGCCCGCACCAGTCCTAAGTTTTCAGATTTTTTCTACAGCTGCATTTGTTGGACTCACGTTGAGGATTAGAGGTCACCCAAGCACGGTAATTTGTTTGGTAGTTACTTCTTTACGGATAGTAAAATATTTAGTTTTCTACTGTGCGAGAATTTGCTTTTTAGAGCTTTATTCATATTGTGACTTAATTTTTAGTAATATTCTCGTCTTATGCTTTTTTTGTTTCAATCCTGTAGAAAGAAGCCGTTTCTACCCCGGGGAAACAAAGTTTACAATAGGCTGCTCATATAATTATTAATTTGTTGCCGGCTCTCCCACAACACCGGCCTCGGTTGTTGAAACATATTAAATTACCACATTTTGTACAGTTAAGTCGGTTGAACATTGTCCCGAAAAAAATGCTGTTCATCATTTGAATTATTATTGGGTTTGAAAGGTGAACATTGTTCAGTTGATGTATCATGATTAATGAACCTTAATGACTTAAGCAAAAAATTAGTTACAGTGTTATATTATTATAATGACCGAGTTGCGTGCTGATGAACGGGTCATTTGACCGGGTCCGAAGTCCACGTAGCCTGTATTGATTTAAACTTCGCTAAGATCAACTCGAGGCTAATGCTTACGTCGAATATTCAAACAACTAATTATATATGTCATCACGCACCTTAGCATTACACGAGGCATTTTAGGGCGGGTCATTGGAGGCTTTTCCTCGGCCAACTCCGATCTGTCTCTAGGTTTAAATTTGGGTCGAAAAAGTGGCGAGCTTACGAAAGTTCGGGAATAACTTCGTGTCCTAATAATATAATATTAGCGGTTATCATTAAAGAACATGAGGAATTAAAAAGTACTTTATCATACGAACATCGACATTTTATGGCTAATGAGGCTGATGCATAGTATGTCAGTAACGCTTGCTTGGGTGGGTGCTGCGCTTGGGCTGTTGTATGTGTCCGCGGTCTCGCTCATCTGCACATCCAGATACCATTTATTACTGCAGGTGGAACGCCATGAAGAACGTAAAGCTAAGTTTATGGAAGGCCTTGTGATCCAGCAGGGTTCCATATAATGAGAACGTTGTGGAGACCATCTTTTGCATAGGTTTAAAATATTTTGGCTGGAAGAATGGTTGCGGTTCCAAAGTTGAAAATCGACAAATTTATGCGAATGAAGTAACTTCATAACGAGTTATCTAAGATCAAATTATTTATGATTATTGATATAAATTGAATTCAATTCACCTTTCAACTACCGTTTTACAAGCCTATCAATTTTTTTATATCATATCCTGCGAAAATGTACAATGACTTCAACTTCACTCGGGACAAATACTGCAAATGCGTGCAGATAAATGTTTATACAAGACGGCGGCCCGTACTATGATCGTCCATTTGTTACCTTTATTTAGAGAACTTGTTATACGCACGTTGGCTGACAAGACTTGAGAATTATTTCGCAGTACGGCTATGATTTTCGAATAATGAAATTGGAATAATGTTCCAGCATGATAGCGTAGCAATAGACTTTGTAGCAAGAGAGTACGAGTAGACTGCTGACTTAAAATGTTCTTAGGGAACCTTCATAGAGAGTTCGAGTAGACCATCAGACAGAGAACAAGTTCAGTGGGCGCCCTCAGTTTCAGCGACTATAACTGCATCGTCTACCATACCTAAAACTGACGACTTATTAACGACTTAAAACTTTGTTGACTTAATTGACTTATTGACGACTTAAAACAATAAAAGTTATTGACGACTTAAAACTTATTACAGTGGCGGTACGACAACCCATTTTTCTCTAAATATTATTTCTTGCACAAAAAAACGAGATTTTAATTATACGAGATTAAACTACGTTTAAAAACGGTTGCAACGTTACACGGAAAAAATTTTTTTTTTTTAATATATGAAAAGAAATGATGAAAATTCGAAAAACCTAGGTGGAAATGGTTATAAGACCACAATAGGTTTTTCCGTTTGTGGATCCCATTCACTCGTATTAATAAGCAATATTACCTCCTCTCGCCTTACTTACCCCAATGCATCTTCTCCCCATGCTATTCACCAAATCATTCAGAGTCTTTTGAGTTAATTTATCCCAGCAACGAAGGATAGCCGTGCTCAGGTCACTCACAGATTGGAACTGGCTCAGGTCACACTTTGGTTAACATCCCTCACCATGATGTCCCATAGGTTTTCAACAGGGTTGAGGTCTGTACTAAACACTGGCTACGACAACAGGGTAATATTCTGCTCTTGGAACCACTTGTTTGCTGGCTTCGAAGTGTAAATCGAAGCACTGTCTTGCTCGAAAACATATGATCCCTCATGTTTCTCACCGGCAAAAGGGAGAAGATGTTGAAATAGCGTGTGCTTGTATGCCTCGGAATCTTGTCTCCCTTGTAAAATTGCTGGAGTTGATTTTCCCTTTCGGCTGAACGCCTCCCAAACCATACACCAGATTGCCGCTTGGAAAAGACTTCACGCTCACGGTCCAGGTGGTGCCAATAGCATTGACATCCATCTGGACCATCAAGAACTTTTTTTATCACTCAAGATAATCTTGTCCCATCCCTCACCAATAAGGAAATTTTCTCAGCAAATTTTAGTCGGTTGATAATATGCTCTTGTTTGAGCATATAAGGGCATTTTTCTGCTTCATGTACTTGAATTTCTTTGAGTCATGCAAAATTTGACGGATGCGTCGTGCTGTCACATCAACTCCATTGACCAATTTTATAGAAGTAGTGGTAGAGCCAGCTTTAGAAGCCTCTGAAAACAGTCTCTTAAGATCCCTTTCGGTTAATCATGGGGTTGGTCGAGGGTGCTTTTTCCATCCGTAGCCGTCCGGATTAGCAAAAAGTGATTGTACAACAGTTTTTGAGCATTTTATTTCCTTTGCGATGTCCCGTTGGCTTCTACCGCAATTTGCAAAGTTCAAAATCTGTGCCTCCTTAGCCTGTGTGAGTCTTGTTCCCTTTGGCATCTTTTTTACTTCGAAAAATGAGGACACCGAACTACACCAGAAATACACCAGAAGTACCCTAAACGGCGAAAATCCAGATATTCTTCATGTTGCTGTACTTATTAACTTGAGAATATTAAAGATAAATACATAAATGGAGAAACACCTATTTTAGCCTCATAATCATTTCCACCTAGGATTTTCGAATTTTCAGAATTTCTTCTCATATATTCTAAGAAATTATTTTTTTTTTTCGTATGGCGTTGGAACCGTATTAAACGTATTTTAACCTCGTATAATTGGAATCCCGATTTTTTTTGTGCAAGAAAAAATATTTAGATAAAACTGGGCGGCCGAATAGCCATTTCCGAATAGCCATGGCAGTGTCTCGAAACTGGTTCTTATTTGCTAGCTAAATTTTCATATAATTGTATGAAATGTAATTGGGCTACTTTAAATAATAACACGCTGCTGAATTTGTTGCCATGTGGTGCTGATGTTGATATTTTTTCAATTCACCTGAATATTTTTAATTCTTATGCAAGAAAAAAACAAGAGAGAAGAGAATAACTTGAAAATGTTTCAATCGTTCTTCTCATTGTCTCCAATCATTATTTGCAAGACTGAACGGACGTAATTTCTCTCAAACCACCGGACTGAGGTCATGTCATAGGAATGCTTATCGTTGTCAAGTAAAAACATGCTGAATTACGTATGAAAATCAACATTCGGATATTGTTAATCAATATTTTATTTTCAGGATCATAATTCAGCTACTACTTTTTAGATAATAAGAAAATCTTCGCTGAAAATGGATAATATAATCAAGATGACCGCCAAACTGCTAGCGATCATCCTGCTAGCTATAGTGAAGGAAACTCTGGGCAGTTCAAGTAAGTACATCTCGGCCCCTGTGCCAGTGGAGAAGCTTCTTGCACTTAGCGTGGCATCGAAGAACTACTCTGGCATAAGTGCCATCCGCTGTGCCAGCCGGGCTGTACAGAGTAACATCACCTACCCAACTCTGTGCGTGCACAACACCAGCGGGCAGTGCCTGCTGCTGAACTCCACGTCCCCGGCCTTGTTCAACCGAACTTATACGGGTTCCAAGGACTACGACTGCTACGTGCGGGAAACTTGTCCTCAATGTAAACCTGTAGGTAAGTTGTTCACGGTATTGTAATTATAAAATTTTATGCCGAGGAAAACGGTGGAATTTCTCTTTCATGTTTCTTTGACCGTGCGAAGGTAAAAACACTGATCGAAATGACTCTAAATTAGGAGATAATATTTGTCATCTGTTACAAGATGCATGAGGAAGGAATATTTCTAAAGTTTACATTATACTCGCACAATAAACACCAAAGCCTTGGCTTAATAACTAAATATTCAATTGTTCCACTGATTGCGTTTTTCACTCCTATATGTAATTTCAATCAGAACTGAGTCTCAAGCTGGCGTGTTCTGTCAGCCACGGTCAAAAGTTACATATTTTTTTACAACGTTTTTCTTAGCTCGCTTTCGTGTCCGTCTGTCTGTCTGTCTGTCTGTTTGTGATGATCAAATCTTGCAATCGATATTTCACCAACTTTCCCGCTAGCTAGCGCTCTGAAACTTTTAGGGAAGCTCAGCTCCCGATGACAATACAATAATCAATAATTTGTTGCACGTTTCGAGGCGTATTTATCACTATTATAAACAAATTAATTTTCGAAGTGGAAATTTGTTTTCTTTTAATCGATTGCAGCGCCATTCCCTCTAAAGCGGCGATTTTCAGAACTAACAAACGCGGTTAATTCTCGAACATAAAATTAAAAAGTAGAAAATAAAATGTATAAAAAAATTTTAAAGACCACGTTTTTCATGTGGACAAAAAAGTAGAAAATAATTTTTCGGCAGCTACTGATCTCTGTTAGCTTTCATTCTCTTGGTCTTTTGTATTTCAGTTAAAATATTTTACAACATCTAAAACGAAAAACGTGGGACGCATCTTCATTTAGGCATGCCTTAATTTCAATTTTGAATTCAACCACTATTTCGAATTTCTCTATCACTATTCGTTACTCCATATACCTTTGATTTGATAGTGAGCTATTTAATGGTGAACTATTTAGATACTTAATGCATTTTCTTTTCAAATGTCTTAATATGCCTCTTAAATTGATTAGATATAGTCCACGCGTTCATTTAAAATTCTCAAAATTTGATTCTTTTAAAATTTTCACATACCCTGACCTGCGTTATTCATGATTCATATCTTTACTTGTTTGAATTACTTATACACATTTCAAACTGTCTATATTGGATGAAACATGATAAATCAATATACCAACAGTAAATAACAAAATTTGCTCAAATCAGATATATCAGCAATACACTTATCAAATGTTCAATGAACCATCATATTCATCATATCAAGTAATCACCAAACAATTAAATACATATGCGCCCCACGTTTTTCGTTTTAGATGTTGTAAAATATTTTAACTGAAATACAAAATACCAAGAGAATGAAAGCAAAGAGAGGTCAGTAGCTGCCGAAAAATTATTTTCTACTTTTTAGTCCACATGAAAAACGTGGTCTTTAACATTTTTTTATACATTTTATTTGTTAGCATTTTGAACGCAGTCTATTGAGCATCTACGAGCTCAATAAATGGAAAACGGTTCGGCACAATCAGCGATCGACCAACGGCTATTTGTTGCCCATTATTATGCGCGGGAACCTTTAAGCTGCAAACACCAATGACTATTCTAAATGTTGGTGATGGCATTTTGCACTCGCTTTAATCGTCAGCGACGACCTGGTAGGTGTATCCGGCGACAAGCTCTTGGACGCTCACAAAACCCTTTATAGACGCTTACTATTTCTTTACGTCGCAGTACATAGCATCCAAGTAAAAAAATAGTTTCTTAGCGAATAATCAAATAGGCTTCACACTAAAAAACGAACAAATTTATTTAATTTAAAAAGAATATTCAACCCAACAGTGAACAAACAACATTCCTGCTTAATTTATTACAAAAAATAACGACTCGAATCGTTCAGTGTATTTTTAAATACATTGCGTGATATCGAGGTGAACTCTTCTGTTGTGCGTCGTCTCTATGACGACAAATCGATGATGAGTTCTCTCGCCTTGTGACCAGCGCTCGGACGGCGAATCTCCAAGCCAACGACTTTTTGTGTCTGCAATGAAACGACAGACACTGCACCTAAAGCCGTACTATCATAAATAGTTAAGAGTTCTTAATTGAGTTAGCCAATTACTGCCGGATTTTCAAGTCAACCCACCAATCACGGACAAGAAATCTGCCCCTGCTTTACTTATGCCCTTTTTGATATAGGGGCTCCTAGAAAATGTTTCCTGGTCTTTGGAATCTATAACAATAATATCTCTATATAATAACGTTCACTTCTTAACAACAAAATGTCATTCGCAAAAAATATTCAATGAGTTAGGTGCCAATCTCGCAATCATATTGAGAGATATGTTAATTAATTTTTGAAAAATAAATTTAAAATTCTTTGAGGAATTGCGCATTCTATTTTAGACCAGTCGTCGGCAAGTAGCTATTTTGAACGGTAGTAGAAAATAATTTTTCGGCTGTAGAAATTATATTAAAAAATAATAATTTGAGAACTTTTCCTCATTTCGTTTTAAACTACTTTACTTTTGTAATGCATACCAATGCTAAGTAATTTAAGCATGTTGGTCGGGAATAGGTGAGCCGTTGGATCAATCTTTGTTCTCACTTGTATCATTTTTATGATTATATCTTCGTGCCAGTCAAACTTGATAATCATCGTTGATCGTACATAACCAAACCAACAATTCGCCTGTGTTTCAACGGTAACATTATCAAATTACAAACTTTTATGTAGAATGAGGAGGCTCGAAAATATGTTAGCCTATAATCTACCGACGCGAATAACAGATGAACATCGATCCGTAGCCACCTGATGGAACTTAAACTATCTAAAACGTCCCACAGCCCCACCCTGTCCGAGCCCCTTCGACTGGCTTGCGGACGTTGGTTGTGTGTTTGTGGTGGAGACCGAAGTGAAGTACGCCGTCGCCCAGACCTCCTGCCCTGGAGGCTCCCAGCTCGTCTCCCTCTACGCTGACAACTTCTTCAAGCTTGCTAACTATGTCGAACTAAAGTCTTTCATTCCATGTATGTTATTATTGAATTATTAATAGTATTATAATATGATTACTGAATTTTTTGGATTGCAGTTTCTACACTAAACCTGTTATTGCATATAAAACAATTCTTATATATTTCAGTAGACTTCTGCTTCTTTTTTCGTCACTGCATTTGTAACTGATATTTCTAGCTTCTTACGCGTTCAGCTATGGAAACTCGTTCGAACTAACAATACCTCTCGTTAATTTAATGACAGCTGGCAAGGCTGATGCTCTCTACTACTTGGGGGTTCATCGCTACAACCGCGTGTGGACTTGGCGTACAGGCCAAGTCATGTCCGGCTTGCCTGGCACGGAAGTTTGGGGACCTGGTGAACCCAATGATGGGTCGGACTGCGGAGGCATCGCCATCAAAACGGGATCAGGGCCTCGTATGGTTGACCTACGATGTTCCATTCCTACATGGTATGTGTGTGCACTGCAGTGAGGACGTGTACAGCGACTGGCAATGTTGTAGCCACTTTAGCTACGTGGTAGCGGCACCGAGATGCAAGCAGATGTGTGCATCAGGCATCAGAAAGTTCGGTTCGTTTCTCGGTGTCGCTTGTGGGCGGCGCATGATAGCCGTCGAGGGTGGTGCACCAAAACTAACTAAGCTCACGTGTTACCAGAGGGGATTTTGAGTTTTTGAACGGACTACTCACATTTGTGAACATAGAGACTAGCTCCTCTAATTGTTAAGCTTTTCTTCACCAAGTTTAGACCTCGTAACTCCACTCATGTTTGATATAAGCGTATGAATTTCTTTGTACTACTCGAGCTATTTCTTTGCTTTGGTTGTGCGATAACAAATAATAAAAGAAGTAAATAGAATAATTGTAGCATCGGAGATATTATACTGATACGGCGTGTTTGTTTGTTTTATTTTTTGCGCGGCAGGAGTGTTATACTAATTTTTATCAACAAATATGTCTAACAGGTCTAAAAAAAATTAGCATTCCATTAAAAATCGGGTATAAAAAATTTTCTTACAATCAGCTGATTTCGACCGGGTAGCCAAGCAGACTCAGAATAGCTCTAAAGCGAGTGTATAGACTTCAGGCCACAAGCCTAGGCGTTTCCTGTTTTTGCGATAATTAGGGAGTGCAAACGATGCTCCAAATAAAAATTAAGTGTAGAGCATCGATGATTAGCGTCCGACATCGAAGCGTGCGATAAGATATCAGAGCTGTCGTTGAATCTGTCAAGATGGCTTCTAGCAAACAAGCTAGTGGCACATACTGACAAGACCAAGTTGATGCTTTTTACTCCCAGACCCGTTTCTGTTTTACGTGACATCACATTCAATGCGAAAATTTTCGCAATGGGTCGATGAATTCAGATATATTGGTTTAATCCTAGGCAACAAGATCTCCTTCAATTAACACATTAACCACGTCTGTCAGGGGCTGAGTAAAGCCCACGGACTTTTGCGTGCTTTATCAAATGTTTTACCTTTCTCTTCATTAAAATCTCTTGTGTATGCATTATCCTTATCATAAATATCAAGCACTTTGGAAATCTAGGATGGTGTACCTTTCAATTAAAAAAAAGGGTCTTCTCATTACTTAATAAATCGTTTGCGTTCTATGCTTAGGGATAGGTATGATGATAATAATGTTCCTTTGACATGCACTAGTGAATTATATAGGCATTCGAAAATTTTAATACTGGACGATATATTCAGATTTCAACTTTTAAAATTCATGAATAGAGTATTTTACCATGATGAACGTCCTTTTAAATCTGCTTTCGCCAGTCTTGTTCCCCAACATTCCCACAACACTAGAGGCGTTCGATTTAACTTACCACCGGTTTGTTTAGAAATAGAAAAAAGTGGTACCGTTTTTCATTGTGTCAAATATTTCAACGAATTTACAGATGAATTCAAACAAGATTGCTCCAAAAAGTTTTAAAAAATAAAATTCCGTGATTTTATCCTTAACCAGTATTAATTTGATTTCGATTATTATGCAAGTTTTAAGCATTTTGGATAGGTGATTGCAGTTGTACCCTGTCTTACTTAGTGTAATGTTGATATATTGCCTCTTTTATGCTGATTTTTCTATTATGACTTGCGGTTGTCAGTAATTATCAAGGCTTTTGTCAATGGTTTGATTATTTTGGAAATTTGTTACTTGTTTGTTCTCGTTGTCGTCTTGTTAACATTGGAATTGAGTTGTGTACTTTGTACCTTGATGTTGCTTGCGAAGCTTTTTTAGCTTATATAGGCATTCACATGGAAGCCTTGCTATGTTATTTCACGTCTCTTATATAATTCATTGTAACGTGTGCTCCTGTGTGAATAAATAAATCAAATAAAAAATCGAATCAAAATTATTGGTGACTATAGGTGGAAATTATAGGTGGAGCACCAATGGTGCATCGATGCGGCGTCGATGGCGTGCTCGGCCAATGTTCCACCTATAACCTGCCGATGACCACCCTACCCGAAAAATTTTTCTTCCATCAATAACTACTCATTGGCACCGGTGGCTCGTCGACGAGCGAGACACCTTCAAAATGGAGTCAGAAATAATTTCCCGTTAGTTTCAAATCAGATGCGTTATGGCATTTACAGATATTGCTTCATATACGATTACACATTCTCTATACATTACACGTTCTACGGAGGCAAGTCCACCATGATAGTACAAGTAACAATGTCAAATATGTAGCTGGAACAAATTATAAAAGTATATTACACGTACCTCGTGAGAAATCGACTTGAAGAAAAGTCACTGCCTGCAGGTTTCGAACTCCCATCTCTCTCACGCAAAGCCAAGCCTATACGTTAAGCCATCGAGGAGGACGTGACATCGATTCATTTACGAGATTTAATTGAAGTATTACAAGTATTATTTCCATCAAATGACAGAAGTTCATGCTACCACCGCGATGATTTGACGGTCACATCGCTAATGTTATTTAAAGATGCTATATTCGAGTAAAAAGCCGTTGAAAGAAACTCCGTTTATCCATAACGAACGATGGTTCAGCTCAGAGGAAAGGCTACGGGAAAATGCTTGATAAGTATAGAAGTTTCATAATGTGAACATTAAACCAATTTTAAATGCGGCTGTATTCGAAGTATTTCCGCCAAGAATATTCTTGCGTGAATTAAGGAATTTATATCACTAGATGATTTTTAAGGGGAGCGTCTACCCTAAAATTGAAAATTTTCACTTTTTCGGTTTTTATACTCATTTTAAAGCTGACATTCTGCCCTATCCAACGGTACCACTGCCATATCTGTACGTTGATTAATGATTTCACGACATTTCATGAAAGGGGGGCGGGTGGGGGAGTTCTTTAAGTAATTAGATAGGAACTAATTAACTGCTGAGCTCTTTAAATATAGTGTCTACTTGATTCGTGCTGCAGTTACGTGTTTAGTCTCATCTTAAAGCTGACATTCTGGCCTATCCAACGGTACCATTACCATCTCTGTACGTTGATTTGTACGTTCACGACACTTCATGAAAGGGGGGCGGGTGGGGGAGTTCTTTCAGTAATAGATAGGAGATAATTCGCTGCCCCAGCACTACAAATACAGTGTTTTTATGAGGTTTACGCATCGAATGATATGCGTCTCGATGTTGTAGCTTGAAAATTCTAGGAGGAGATAGATTTCTACAGTACCCCCTTTTTTGGCCGTTTTCTAAGAATTTCACGTTTTCTTTTATTTTTTTCGAAAAATTGACACGAATAAAAGCTGTCTATTTTTTGATTTGACATATGTGTACAAAGTTTCAAAGTGATCCGTCTGTAAATAGCCGAGATAATTTTTGGGGTAGACGCTCCCCTTAAATGTTAGGCGTGAAATACCTTTATCACTTGGTGTCACTACTCTTCTCTAGCCTAATCTTTAATTTTTGCGTAGGAAAGATACCGAGACCACTTTATTAGAAACGTAGACCTAAACTCAAAATAATTGTCTGACGATTTAGGCCAATTTCCTCTAAATAATTAAATTTCACTACCGAAGTAAGAAATAGGAAATCAAATTTTTACTCGTATCCCACTGCGTTAAGAGAATGCTTTTTTGACCAGCAAATTACCCGGAAAGCACATATTCCAAACATTAAATGGGGAAATTAGTAGTAAAGAAGCTCAACGCGCGCCAACCCAACATGTATCAAGGTGTACCTACTTCCTCGACTCGCTTGCTGCACTTTAGAGATGGCTTTACTACGTGTAGAGATGGCGTCGACTACGTCGACGTGGCTGTAGACTAGAGTTTGGATAAAGACGGCAACTTCAGAATATTATAAATGCTATGAAACACACTTAATCCAGGCAATTTATACTTAATGATACAATAAATTAGTCTCAGTTGATCGCAACATTTGCAATAAATTTCACAATCAATGAGGTGATACAATCACCTGAATTCGCAATATATCAAGTGATAGTAATCGCCATCATCTTTTGAAAAACTTTATTTTTTGAAACAAAATTTACCATTTTTCTAGGGCAATTTATATCAGGAGTAGTCTGATATACATGCTCAGTGGCTTCACTTTGGCTAGAAAAATTTGTGAACACCCTGCTACTGTCTGTCAGTTTAACTCGTACCTACCGAATTAACGCTAAATTTACTTGAATCGAAGCATTAAAAGACAAGCTAACAGAACAAAGTCATGGTTTCAAATGACCCGCAACCCAATAACACCTCTCTACCTTGGATAAATTACAGTGACAAATTACTTCATGCACAGTTATCTGTGGCGCACAAGAGATTTGCCTGCAATGCGCCATCGATTATTCAGACCATATAAATTATCGTTGATTCATCAATGACCGCCACCTATAATATTTACCTCAAGATTTATTGGTGTTTTATTGTTGATTTTTGGCAGAACTGGCCACCCATGGTTACGCCACCTACAATCTACCATCACCACCTATAATCATCGATGCGCCACCCATAATTTTTATTTGGGAATTACTACCGTATTGTCCTCGCTTAGTTTTATGAACATTGAATCTCATTTTGTTTACAAAATTAAATGCTCCAATGTTATTCTCATTTAGTTTATTTAACTTATTCTTCGTCCGTTTTAAAATATTGCCTCTATAGTGGTTTGATTCTGTTATTTTTCTCAAAAGCTGATCTTACTTGATAAGGAATTAATTGTGTAACCGAGATTTTCTATATTGTCAAAAATTATAAAAATGCCGTGAGCCGTGAGGGGTAAAAACTGAGCGCTTCGCCACTGAGGCAGTGTCACACATGCAAATTAATCGATCATAATTTCCAAATAGTTGGACGCTTTCTGAACGTAGCATTGATATATTCATTTGTACATCGCTATTTGGACAAAGTCTCACTAATTCCTTCGAGTGCCTGTGACCTTCCGACAGCGCGCTCACACGGGAAGCCATCCAGGAAGAGCGTCACACACAGACGATTTAGCAGGGCACGGGAAGTCATCTTCGCAATTTATTTAACGAAGTTCACTAGTGAAAATGACAAATGAGATGTTAGAGACTTCAGCTCCTTATTCTAGTAATAAAATTCTTAATTTAGGTTCTAAATTGATTTTTTTCTCAGCAACTCCTTCTTCCCCTCGTCTAGCAAAACGAACAGATATAAATCTCTGCCTATGAGAAGAAATATTCCCATGATTACGTAGTTGTATAATATGACGAACAAAATGAAGAAATTAGTCATACATACAATTTATGAACAGCAAAAATAAAGACGTGTTTCTTCTCATCCTACGATGCGGCACAGGGATGGTTCAGTTTCAACATTTATTCTCAGATTCTTAACTTGCCTGCCACGCGAGGCTTCCATCCAATAAATGTTTAATAAAATCTGCAAGCAAAGTTATGGGTTTCACGAGGCACCTGCATGAGGGAAAATTTCAGAGGGCTGAGAATAGTTTAGG